CGGTTCTGTGGGCATGGCTTGATGGGCATGACAGGGGAAGGATACTGAGAAATCTCCATTTCCTCCCCATCAGCTGGGACTCGGGAGGCAGAGAATAGATGGGGGCAGGGGCAGTCAGAGGTGGTATTCTGCAGGTTACGACTAGTTCTGGAGAATCGGTAACAGAAATTTTGAGTAGTTCAGAAAATTGATAAATACCACCTCTGATTGGCCCTGCCCCCATCTATTCTCTGCCTCCCGAGTCCCAGCTGATGGGGAGGAAATGGAGATTTCTCAGTATCCTTCCCCTGTCATGCCCATCAAGCCATGCCCACAGAACCGGTAGTAAAAGGTTTTGAATCCCATCACTGTCTTGGTTGTGTGTTTATCATGACACTGTTGTGCTGACAAAGTTGCCTTTACCAAGGAAATGTCTTTTAAACCTTGCTGCTTGAATCCTTTATTATCTGCTGTACAATCAGGCCACTTATTTATTTATTTAGTGTATGGCATATCCTAGATGGATTAACAAGACAAGTTAACATTTCAGCTACTAAAACATATAAATGTTAAAATAATCTATCTTCAAATACCAATGTCTAGGCCATCTAACCATTGAAACACAGCATTGTTTATATTAAAAAAATAAAACATTGGGCAGGCATATGCCTTCAGCCTACAGCCAGTCATGTTATGATTTACAGTTTGATATGGCATCCTGTACTTACAGTACACTGAGGAGAGGATACTATGTCCCATTTACACATCCTGGCAGATGTGAGGTGTGAATCCTTTTCAGGATTGTCCATTGCTGATGTGGTAGTTCAAAGCCTGACATCTTTTTTTGTGGGGCCCTCCTATTATGGCTTTCCATTGGGAATTGATGTTAAAGTTGTTGGCCAGTTGTTGTGACCTACTTAACAATAGTTTGGGAAGAATCTGGGTGTCTGGACTAAAATGCTAGAGGGATCCAATTTGATCCATGGCAGATTTTATGGAAGGCCAGTGGCTAGGGGTTAGCTCCAAAGAGGTCTTGTTATGTTGATAATAGGACTGTCCTTTTTTGTAGTTTTATTTTCATTCTACTACATGTTTATCATGATGGGAAGCTAAAAATTAGTGCTGTTAAAGACTTCTGGGGCCCATAAAATGGTTTGTAGCAATAAGAAGCTTTGAGATCACAACTTATTTAGTCCCTCTGTAGATTAGCTCAGAATCCTAACGACAATTAATTATTAAATTAATCCAGGAAGAGAACTTTCCAAACAGTTTTATCCTTTTGTGTATTTCTTGGAAGGCAGCTTTGTTTTGAGAATGCATTCTACAGCCAAGTTCTGCCACAGATCCAGCCTTTGGTAAAGGAAAGGCAGAGGGAATCCTTATGGTATTAGATTAATAATGCAATTAGTAATGTAATTCAATTGGAATGATAGAGTTGGACTCTTTGGTTGTTCTTGTTTGGTTCTCATTTGACATTGCATGTTAAAGATCTTGACTTGCAAGAGGTTTTTTTTTTTTAAAAAAAATCCACATTACACATAGGCAATAAGGCAACTCCATGAGAATGTCAAGGCTTTTCATCATGTTTATATTCTACTTATAAAGCATTCTTTGTCTAGAAGTAAAATCAGGTTTTACTGAGTTACGAAAAGAACACTAAAGGGCTAAAGCTTGATGAATACCTATTTTCTTATTATAAACACTATAGCGTTTTTAAAGTTTTCCCCTTGTGATTTATAAAAGCCATACTAGCCTGAGAAAACTTTCTGTATGTGAATGAAAATACAGTCCCAGAAGATGGTATTGTGTGGCCGATATTGTCTGGTCTTGGAAGTTAAATAGTCTCAGGCCTGTTTAGTAATTGGATAGGAGACCTCTTATCTGCCTAGGATTAGCGAATATTAAAGTAAGTAATCATATAAGATTTCTAAATAAATAAAAACACCTCAATAATCGAAAACCACATTCATGAAATTGGAAATTGAAATTTCATGCTGTTGCAAAAAACAAGACAACACAAACTGCACATTCATGAAATCATCAGGAATCCAACTAAACTTGAAAGAGACTTTAAGATAATGTGAATCTTTCAAATTGGCTTTTAATGCCACCCTGGCATGAATTTAATTCTCTTAAGTACTCTATAAGGTGAGAAAACAAACCCATAGGAAATAGTGAAGATGTTCATATATCCGGGTTTTAGTCGATGCAAAAAGAATACACACACATACTACTTTGATAAATATAAAATATTCATATATTTTTGAGCAGTTATGTATTTCACAAAATTCCTTAAAGGGACACAAAACATCTGAGTTGCAAAATTTTCTCACCTTTATGAGGCTTGGCAAGGATTTCATGATGTTTACTTCCTTTTCATTTTGTGGTTTCACACGAAAAACCTTTGCACTTTAGAAGAGAAAATCAAGCAATGAGCCATATACCAAGGCATGGAAACAAACAAACAAACAAACAAAAAATCCCACAGTACCCTTTGATGATGTGAAAAGGCTGTACCTGTCAAATCGTACAGCAGAAATGAAAACACAAGTAATGGTCATCACATTCAGAGCCAAAAGGGGCATCATGGTCCTTTCTCTTTGCTGCCCTTCATCTCTGACATTTTTATTCTTCTGTGTGATGATCAGATAATTTCCTCAGAGGATTTCTTTGGATGATGTGAAGTTCTGCAGTTGTATCTACATTTAGATTTTATGTGAATTAACTATGGGTATTGGAATCTTTTATAATACTTATTAGCATCTTTAAAAAGCTCAGAAAATGACACTCACAATGATGTACAATATTTGATAAACGAGAAAACATGTCCATGGACACAGAATGCATTTGTACTTGTCTATTGGTGCACTTGAGGGTACATGTCTGAGAACTCACTTCTAGGTAGTCCCAATGCATCTAGAGGACCTCACAGTTTGGGAAAGACCTGGTTTCATTCTCATGTTTTTTTGAATATATTTAAGCACTCATTTGATTATTCTTTTGCCTTTACTNAGGAGGGAATTAATTTGATATAGTAGTTAAGGTGCGAGAGTTTTAGTTTCGTCTTAGGGACAAAGCCAATTGGGTAACTTTGGATAAGACATTAGTAGACAAAGGCAATGGCAAATCATTTCTGAAAAAAAAAAACTTGCCAAGAAAACTTCGCAGACCAGTCCAGGAAGTTGTTAGGAATCAACACTGACTTGAAGTCACAAAAACAAAACAAAACTAACTTCAGGAAACAAAACCAAAAAAAAAAAAAAGTAAAATGAGAAGAAATCTTATGTGAGCAGGGAAGCTTCCTGAAGCCTCCGGAGGGCGAGAAACAGCCCAATGCACAAATCGGAAGTCAGTTCCTCAACTTCTGGTTTGAGTATTGGGTTGTTTTTTGCTCTCTGAAGGCTTCAGGGAAGCCTCCAGAGGGTGAAAAACAGCTGAAAATGAAGGCCAAAATCAGCTGGCCAGTGCCTGCATGCACGCTGGAGATGACAGGGCAATGCCTCACATACCCTAAGAAATGGCACGTGTGCCATAGGTTCGCCATCACGGCTATATAGCATTCACTCTTACGTGCTTATACATTACAGAATAAAATATCCCAACATGTCAAAGCAGATGTGCAGACTTTTCAGTGTAAGATGCATATAAAGCATTTTGAAGCAGAGTTTTGCTAATACAAATACTTACAAATTGTGGTAGCAATTGATCCATATGTATACTCTGTTTGATAGAGGCTATGTAAAGCATCCACAGCTTCCTTAGCCAATTCATTCTGTATTTGAAAAGAAGAAATATTAGATCAATAATCCAGATTCTCCTTTCTTTCTTGGCATATTCAACTACATACAAATTCAATGATATCCCAATCACTTTCAGATAATTTATATGAAGATAGGAACTTGCCTTCAGCCAGGAAAGGATATTTGTTCCTCTAGCCCAGTATGACAAGCATCTGAGGTCCTATTTAACACCTGCTAACTGAGCCCTATGTAGTGCCACAAGTAAATTAAATTTTGGTTGATTTTAAAGCTCTTGGACTATCCTAGATTTGGGCCCCAGTCCATATGTAATTACACGTAATGGAGCATTGATGTGACTAGAGGCCACAAGCAATGAATTTGGATTCCCACTTCTGTTGCAAGACAGTTGGGAATGTTATCCCTATCCAAGCTGTACAATTTGGACAGAAAATCAGCTGAATGATTCGTGCTGCATCTAGAGATGTGTTGTCATACAGATGTATACCTAATATGCTCCATGTCTCCTGCTGAGACTGCAACAATAGTATGCATGCAAACCAGGATCCGAATATGCATCTCCATTTGTGTATTGGTATATGCACATAAATGCATTTTAATCCTTAATAATAGAAAACTTAGGTCGGACCTTTCATTTGAAGGAATGCCAACCTCTCTGTCTATTTAGATGAAAGGTATATAATACACTTTTATTTGTTGCATCTGTCCAAGCCATTTTTTTAAAGGTAATTTGCTGAGGCTTTTTTCTGCATGTTTTGTTCTTCGGAAGTACAAAGATACCCTGCAAAGATGGGGATTTCTCAGTGGTTACATTCCTATTACACAAGAACTTAGCCTGGTGCCAACTTTTTTGGTGCCAAGAGAGAACATTTTTATATACTGACACATTTCAACATATTTTTCTGAATTAATTATGGAATGTACTGTTTTGAAGACTGTTGTTTTTGTAAAACTGATAGGATGAAAAGCTGTATAAAATGCACCTACATTGTTTAAAGAACATTAATATTATGTATATGTTGGCAGGTAACATAGCATCTTCTTTACCTTGGAGAAAAATGAATTTCAGAGATCGGAAATCAAATCCTAATTTTAGATGATTAGCATTTATAGCATCCTGCAATCTTAGCAGTGTTCTCTAACTTGCTACCCTACAGATAGGTTGAGCTGGCAAATCCCAAAAGTCAATTTCGTTGACAGCAATTTGTAAATGAAGATTTGCCTAGAATGAATAGGATAGAATACATGAAGCTCAGGTTTGAATTGTGGAATCCTTGATGCTTTCTCAATTGTTTGCTTGCAAGTAAACAATCAAGCTCAGAGAGCACCAAGAACACCACAGATCCTTAAATTGTCTCATGGAGCAGATCAGCTATACATTTTGCAATTGATTAATCTGTGAAACTTTAAACAGATGTAAGCTATTTCTGTGATATGAATATCAATGAGGGAGAATATTTGTAGCTCAGGATTGAAATGAGGNTGCATGTGCACCAGAAAGCGGAAGACCAGGTGGCTGGTACGCATGTGGCATCAAAGCCAGAAGAGCCAGAAGAGGCAATGGCCAATGGCTCGTGTGCCCAGAGAGATGGCTCTGTATGCCACTTCCGGCACATATGCCATAGATTCGCCATCATGGGTCTAGATCGTGAGTGTCAAATCTTTTGGCTTGCCAGGGCTGCACTGAGTCACATGTAAAATATATATAATACAATTTAATGTATATAAATCAAATAATGATATTAAATGTTTACAATGTTGTTGGGCTGCCTTACTAGCTGTCTAGGGATGCAGGCAGTCTGTGAGCCATAGACAAATGTAATATAGTTCAATAGATGCCACGGGTCAATGCCAATTACCCTGACTTGTATAAGATAAACAATGAACTATATAATCCGTGGTTTGTCTTGCAGTTTAGAGTACAAGGAAAATTCTGTGAGAAGCTGTCTTTTGGGGAAAATAACCCATATTTAACTGGAAGTGACATGTTTCACAGGGGGTGGGTGGATAAAGAGAGTCTTTTCCTAAAAACAGCTATTTTTGTTGATTTTTCTTCCTTCTATGTGAATTCAAGAAAGTAAAATGTAATTTGTTCTTCTAAGAGTGTAGTTAAGTGAAATCAAACTGTAGACTTTTAATTCCCTACCTGTTTCTCACTTTTTAGAATAATTGCCCTTACTTTAATTCCCTTCTCCCATGTGGGGTTCTTGCCTCTGGGCTGCACTTATTCAGAGTACAGGCCAGGAAGAATTTAATTCTCCTGGGTAAACTAGCCATGGCATGGAACATGATCTCATGGTGCTATTTTTATTTACATATGTTTAGGATCAGCATTGTGCAATCAAGTATTTTTTTTATTATATACTGGCAGACTGAAGTTCTTAAGGAAATATTTTATTTTTAACTGACTGTTATCAACCCTTATCCACATATTTTTGAACTGACTTATTTGCTAGGCATTTTCCGATAGCTTCTCACAGTGAAGACTTCTAAACTCCAAGATGCCTTTAGTTATGACTTCTTACCCAGCATATAGCAATTGGATGCAGAAAGAGTTGTCTTGACTAAGAACCTGCTGTGCCTTTTGACCTGATTCAGCATAATCCTCTTCTCTTTCATAGTTTTTAAACTGTTTATAACTTTAAGCAGCTACTTTTACAGGCTTTTACTAAATTGCTGTTGTTTTAATGGTTTTCAATGCATTGAAAACAGTTTTTAATTGTGTTCTTTGTTTTTCTGCTTTGGGGGGTTGTTTTTAATGACACAAAATGGGTGAACTTTTAAACAAACAAATAAAAGAAGTTCAGACATTTTGGATGACAATTCCAAGTAGCCTTAGCCAATAAGATCAGTAATCAGGGATGCCATGGATATATGGGGCAGGGTTTTTTTTTTAAAAAAAAATGATGTGCTTTTTTGCATATGTTGAAGGATGCAAAGAAGCCAGAATCTTCCTATGGCAATTTCAGGTGCATAGCCAAGAAAAAACTGGATCTTTTATGAGTGTTAAACCAGATATAACATTAATTGCATTTTTCTGTTAATATATATTTAAATATAAATATAGCCATAGTGTGCTGATAGTAACTAGAATCTCAAGATGTGGGTGAGGCTTAGTCTTTTGTTGTCCTGGTAGGGTTATGATAAATGAATATCCAACATCTTTTTAAAAACATCCAGTGAATGCTCCAACACTGGAGGTTTTTAAGAAGATGTTGGATATCCATTTGTCTGAAGTGGTGTAGGCTTTCCTGCCTAAGCAGGGGGTTGGACTAGAAGACTTTCAAGGTCCNCTCCCAGTTGCTAGGAGAGCCTCAAAGCGGCTGGAGGCTTTTTCGTAACTTAAAAAAAATTGGGACTTTAAAAAAAAAAAAACGGACGCGGGACAAATTCTTCAAAAGAGGGACTGTCCCGCTGAAAGTGGGACGTCTGGTCACCTTATTAATCCTGTACATTAGAGAAAACTAATTGACTTCTTTGTAGAAGTGATCTCAGAATCTATCACTTTCATCCCAAAATGACTAAAATGGCTCCACCCCTTTTGTGTGTCCTTGTGACATCATGAGCCGTGATGGCGCAGTGGTTAGAATGCAGTACTGGAGGCTACGTCTGCTGACTGCTAGATGTCAGCAGTTCAACAGTTCGATTCTTACCGGCTCAAGGTTGACTCAGCCTTCCATCCTTCCGAGGTTGGTAAAATGAGGACCCAGATTGTTGGGGACAATATGCTCACTATATACTTAGAGAGGCTGTAGAGCACTGTGATGTGGTATGTACTATACGTCTAAGTCAGTGATGGGTTGCCAATTTTGTTACTACTGGTTCGGGGGCACTCCTGCATGTGTGTGATGCTTCTGCGCATGCGGGTGGGCGGAGCCTACAGCTGCCAATCCTACCAGTTCAGCCAATCTGGGCCAAACCAGGAGCAACCCACCTCTGGTCTAAGTGCTATCATGAACACATACAAAAGTGCCAGAGCTTCTGTTGCATCAGCATGGTGCTGCTTTCATCATTTGTGTTACCTTGACCACCTTGCAGAAGTTATGGCTTTTTTCAACTTATTCTGGGATTGATATTTGCTTGTGGGATTTAAGGAAATCACATCATTCTCTTTTCTTACATTTCTTACATTCTACTTACAGCCCCAAGCAGCATTGAAATTCCTATTCAGGTCAGTGCCGATGCAATCACTGTTAGTGTTATTGGAACGGTTCTTTCTCCACATGCGATCCTGTAAGGCAAAAGTGATTGAAGTCCATTATTTCGTATTTTTATTTCTTAATTCTGAACGTATTATCAATCTATTTGCAAACTATGTACAACTAATGTAAGTGGGTAGAAGGACTATGGTGCTATATACCACTTCCACACATGTTCTCTTTTGCATTACCTATCAGTAGTAAAACATCCAAGTTACTGTTAATTTTTATCTCTGAATAAAAATAAATGCATCTACATTAACTTTTGGAATTGCTTACACACTACGTTTATTACATTTTAAATCTGAGTTGTTGTTTGTCAGTGGTCTGAGTAAGTATAATCCTACTGTCGTGCTGTGCTGACATCCAAGTAAGGATGACATTTAACTAATTCAAAGATATACTCATATGAGAGAAGACTAATGCTCCTATATGCTGCTTATTGTACACAGTAATTTCTGTTGGATTTCTTCCTGTTCTGTATGAAGAAGGGAGCTATAATCTGTAAAATATCAGATAACAATATACTCATTTGCTTTAATTTGCATGTTGCATTTTTTAAATCCTTGGAAGTAATTAACTGATATGAAGACTAATGAAGCCCTAACTTATGACTTTTTGCTGTTTTTAGTTAACGAAAGGATTACATGAAGAAGAAGCTATGCTTTTAATAGTAATTATGGTAGGAAAATGAACACCAGAGAAGGACAGATAGACATATTTCTCTGTGATGAATTTCATTTTTTTGATGTTAGAACACATATAACCTTTACAAATATTCTACACATTGGTAGTAAGAAATCATTCTTTGAAACTTTCCTCTGTCCCATAATTCATTTTAGCAAAAGAAATATTTTTTTCTAGAAAGGAATAAACATGAACAGTACTTTTGTCCATGTCCAGACATAACCATCAACGTTGAACACTGGGAGAACATAGAAATTTATGTTGTCTAAGAGTAGTGTCATGTCCTTGTCTCTTCCATAAGTCGTGACAGCCTGTAACAGAAAAAGACACATATTTTAAAATAAAACATTTTTTAATAAACTGAGAATATTGGAAACATCACAATACTTATCTTTAAAAGTATATTCTGTCATCCCTCATCTACCTATAGTAGGTTACACTAATGAAATCTATAGTGCAAATAATAATTTACAATTATTTTACAATATTTACATTGGTTATATTTTTTCGGGCACCTACTGATGTCAGAATTAGTTATGGGAAAATTTCTTTTCAGAGGGAAAGCAAAGATCACTCTTTCTTGAATGTTGTCTCCTGTTTCACCTTATATAGAAAACTTCCAGGAGGGCTTCAGAAGATTATTTGGGGCTTGGAGTGGCATGGAAGAATCTAAAACAAGCCTTCGGGAAGCAGATCAAGAGATTATGTTGCCCAACATTCTGTGTCAAACTGTGGTCAGCCAGATGCCTACAGAGAAAACACGCATGCACGCACGCACGCACGCACGCACGCACGCACACACACACACATTTGAGGGCTAAATCAGTAGATTTCTAATAGCTTGAACTTTTCAGTTCTTCTCAAATACTGTAGCTGTTTTCTAAAAAGTCGCTTTCTAAAAAAAAAGGAAACAAAGAAGGTCACATCCTCTCCAGCATTCAACACCCAGATAAATAGAGAACAACACTAGATAAACAATCAAGCAGAAGACAATAGCTTCATCAAACAACAATGAAGAACAAAACCACTTCCCTACCAAAACTGCCAGGCAAGTTACAGAATCTAAACAAGGAGCAAAACCTACCTTTACTTACTGTATACTGATATTGTTATCTAGCTGGGTAATGAAATGTCTGCAAGCAAATAATCAAGGGAGACCCAAGACTTTATAATTCAACTCAGCTACATATAGTAGCTTCTAGTTGAATATGCTCACATGCAAACCGATGCTGTAGTGCCTGTCCCATCATAACCCAATTATTTACTCTAGGGTGAATATATTACTGAGTTAATGACAGTATTGATTAAGCATATTTTACTAACCTCCTTTACAAACCATTGGCAAAAGGCTGGTGAGATCCACTCTCGTGCATGAATACCACAATCCATAAATATAGCTTTCTTTGGGTTACTTTGTTTCCCAACCTGTTTCCAGAGAAAATTAAGTTTTTACAACTTTCTTATGTTTACTTTGCATAATAATTGATCAGCTTCTGGTGTTAGAATTAATTTGCATTTCCTTTGATTTGCTTACTTCTAGCTTTTATTGAAATTCTCAGTGAAAATTGTTTATTTTAGGGAACCAGACATGTAAAATTGCATTCTGAGAAAGTTGTGTAATAAAATATCTGTACATTTTGCTACATTTTGAAACCAAAGAGATGAACAATTGATGGAGTGATTTTTTAAAATGCATGAACATAAAATAAACTAGAGTAGGTTTAATCATACTTTCCATTGTAGATCAGTTTATCCTTGTGTCAGCTAATGCAGTTCAATACTACAACTTATCTGTTAATCTACTTTCTCATTATGCATTGGCTATAGATGTACACTTATTCATTAAATGCTTGAATTATATTGGCACTTTTACCTTAAGGACATACATAGGCCGCTCCTCATAAGTCTTTCCAATCTCAATCCTGGAGATCAGTTTGGCATGTTTTTTAGCCATTCGTCTAGTCCATGCAGCGATCTAAGAGGATCACATAATAATAGAATTAAGAGAATCTTAAAAGATCAGAATATATGTTGTTATTTTAAATTGCCTAAGTAATTTTTAAAAAAAGTTTCTTTCATTTTCAGTGGAAGTTTCTTTCATACCTTTTCCCATTCATTATATCTTGTGTAGAAGTGTTTCTTACGGAAATGTTTCCCTCCATCCAACTGTTTCTCAATTTCATTTTGTAGATTGTGGAATACAATTCTGTAATAGGAAACATAATTTGATTAAATATGTAGTCTTGCTTTCCCTGAAACCATTTTGTTTAGGATTTCTTTGGCCGTGTCTACCCTACAGGCTCACATACCTCCATTAAAAAGTATTCCTTCTTTCTCTCTTTTTTGATTTGTTAAAACTTGCATTATAAACAAGTGGACTGCTTCCCCACCCGTGTTTTGCTTAGCTTAATCTGTAAATTTATAGGAATAAAGATAGCCAAGGGAATTTTAAAAAAGCAGATTTGGAATGCACAATTAAATGATCAAAGCCACACTCCCCTTTTAAAAAGGGATAAGGCTTTGATGGTTGCCATCCTAATGTATCTGAGGACAGGATTGATCCAGTGACTAGCAAGGCTGCATTGTATCTTACTCTAAGTCAGTGTTTCTCAACCTTGGTAATTTGAAGATGTCCGGACTGCTGCGAATGCTGGCTGGGGAATTCTGGGAGTTGAAGTCCGGACATCGTCAAGTTGCCAAGGTTGAGAAACACTGCTCTAAGTGAAGCAACCCACAAGCCACTCTCTTCCCTATGATGTCACATAGCTCCCGGACAGTTGCATTAAAACACTACTTCTAAACACTAGCTCACTTTTTGCTTGTATTTAAATATTTCCAGATTAATAGTTTATTTTTCCTCAAATTAAGCCCATTCTGTAATAAGCAGCTCATTTGGAAATCCATTTTTGCATGCCTGTGCAATTTATAGATTTCAAGACTGACATCAATGAAGCACAGATGAGATTTCAGGATGAAGACAAAACCAATCTGTAGTCTTGGAATTTGATCAAAATGGCTCAGTCAAGGGAGGAGCCAATGAGGAATCAGATTTCTTGGACTCACAAGACATGGACCAAACATAGATCAGCTTTCAAGGTTTATGTAAGAGCCCATTCAGCTCAGCTGAGTTGCCTTTGTGGTGCTAAGAAGTACACTGCAAACCACTCAGTCTGTCTCTGAAGATACCATCTACAGTTGCTAGCAAAATATCAGAACAAAAGAAAATTAACCAGAGGCATTCAGCCCCAAAGTTCATCACTGCTTTAATGTGTAAGTTCTTAAAATAAATAAATGATGGATGGTTCATAAAAAGTTTTATGTGTCACCAGAATATGTGAATTCTGGTGAACCAATTATTTTATATGTACAAATGGAAAGAAATGACTTGGTTTAAAATAACATGGTGAGCTTTCTGAAGTAGGTTTTTAAACTGAGAATGGTGGGGAAGTTGTCAACCATGGGCAATCCAGTGGTGCAATTTAGCCGATTCTATCCGGTTCGGGTGAACTGGTAGTGGTAGTAGCGGGACGCTCCGCCCACCCGCCTGGACATCATCATGTCCTGTTTTTGACTCTCTCCATATACGCGGAAAGTCCCGCACATGTGTGGAGGTGGTGCATACGCTCACATTTGCAAACCAGTAGCAAAGGTAACTTGATTTCACCCCTGGAGCAATCATATTAATAAGTGCATCAGAAATGCAACATCATGTTACTCTATGCAGCCTTTAATATTTTATCTCTATTTAAGACAGGAAGTTGTGTAGCTTGATAAAGGCAGAAATGAATAACTGATCCTGTGATATCCAGAAATCACACATACATAGTCATGATGACATAAATTAGCAATTTCTATTATAAATGTATTGTTCAGTTTAGCGAAATAAAGAATTAAAGAAGAATTAAAACCTGCTTAAGTATCATTTACTGTTTGCTAACTTCCTATTTTTCTGTTTTGTATTGGAGTGCCCTCATTAAATAGAAATGATATTTAGATGAAATCAGTGGAGAAACTCCCACTGTTTCTAATGTCTCTGGATTTTAAAATCTGGAGTTATTGCAATACTATATCATGAGAGACAGTCAGGAAGTTGAATTGATATATTATTGAAGGAGCAGTAGTAATAGAAGATGGATATGGTTGTTCAAAAAAGAAAGCATGTCAAACTTTATGTTTATACAGGGAAAAGATTGAGAATCAAGCAGAAAGATTGAATAGAGAAATATAATTTTGCATTGATTACCTTTTATTCAAGAACAAGCAGCACTGATCCATAAGTATGTACATAATATTGTAGATGTAGATGTAACACAATATACTATTTTAAAAACTGGATTAAACTAAGACTAGTCCTGTTTACCTCATATCTTTTCCCCCCGCATAAATTTCAAAGTTTGAGAGGAAAGTTAAAGGCAAAATGGATGTTTTAAGTTTGAAAGAAAGACAATGCATTTGTTCTTACCTTTAAAGCCCCTGAAACCTATTCTAAAATGGCCTTTGGCCCCATCTGCTGTGGCACTTGGCATGTTGCATACTCTACATTAAAGAGTACTGGTAATTCTGTTAGATTGGTTTAAATTGTCTTTAATTAATTGATATATTTACTCTTCATCTCTATCTCCTTCCTTTTGTCTGCCTCCTAAAGAAATTTATTTAATTCTATTTGGATTTCATTGATTAAATTTCTGATTATTTATTTATAGTATACATTCTATGAAACCACATACCTGTTTTGGATTTGATTTTGCTCCAGGATCTTTTGAACAAAGTTTGTCTGATCTGAACTCACTCTGAAATCCACGTTTTTCCCAATAAGAACATGTTGAACTGAATGAGGATGCCAAAAGTCAAGCTAGATGGGGGGAAAAAAGTATAGCAAGTTTATTTTTAAGAATGTGAACAGAAAAGAGGAATCATGTAGATGTGTGTGTGTGTGTGTGTGTGTGTGTGTTGCAATTGGGCTGATTCCCTGGCTTAGCCTATTTCTCTGGCTTAGCTGATAAAGGAGGAGAGCCTGTGGTTTAGTGGCTAATATAACTGCCTAATATGTAATACAGCCCAGGTTCAATTCCCAGTAAGGGTATGGCTAGCTGATGAGAGCTAAATAGCTTAAAATAGATCTATACTAGTCTCCCTTTATTTATTTATCAGCACAATTGCAACACAAATGTAACAGAGGCAACATTAAAAAAAAGTGGCTTTCTGCCTGAATGGCTCCCAGAGTGAGCCGATAGACAGAAAAGGGAAGCAGTATGCTCCCTACCATATCTGGGCATACCAGGGGTTGTGACACTGTATGTATGTATGTATGTATGTATGTATGTATGTATGTATGTATGTATGTATGTNTGTGTTGTGTTGTGTTGTGTTTTATTCATTATTGATTAGGGTAAATGGTCAAAGAGACCCTTTGGGTGTTGCTTGCTGTTTTCAGGAGGTGACTGGGCTCCATTCCAGTGAGAACAATTTTGTTACATGTTCTTGTTGATTTATTTGCATCCTATTGTTTTTCTCCTTATGAGCCATGGCCAAGAAGGCATTTTTATTTATAGTCAAATAATTATCACCACCCCATCCCAGATCACCTCCCAACTGCACCTACTGTTATTTGTTACATGTGAATTAAAGGACAATCTAAATGTAGTAGATAAACAATAACCATCTGGTTATTCCTTTCGTTTGGTCTATTTATTTAGAATGTGGATTTTTGATAATCAATGAGCAACTCCGTGATTCAGGCTATAAAAGGAAATGGTTTCTTAATCTGAACTTTCTATCCTTTCATATTATCTCACCAGGAACACCACTAATGGAAAATGATCGTTGTTGGCATCTGCTTGTATTGGACAAGGGAACCTTTCAAAATTGTTTCTGCAAAGAAAAACATCTCATTTTGAATGTGAGGTGATTGCCAAAAGTTCAGATTATTTTAAAAACTAGCAAGAACTTTGTGATAGTACGTACTGGTTGGGAAGATGGAGAGTAGCTTTTACAAGCCTTTTTCTGGGGCTGGATGGTGTCAAGACCAGCATTATTGGGCACCTGCCAAAGCCTATGCTTCAGAACGGGCCTGTTGCCAATCTCAGGGCTTTTCAGCCTGCTGTAAGAGCTGCTGCTGCTTCTCCTTCTCGAGTTTCCTCTCCATGTGCTATCTCTCATCAAGCAAAAAAGCAGGCAGAGAAGATGGATGAGGAACTATAAAATGATATGATATGATCTGCCAAGACGGATTCTTCTGTGATTATTCACAAAGTTCCCTGATCTATGTCTTGAAATAGCCCACAGGTCAAAAATTGCATTAAAATGTGTAATTTGGGAAAACTATTTGGGGGGGGGGGAGACTTTTGGGGAAAGTCTGTTTCCCTCTTAATAGGCCAAATTAAAAAAAATTCTAGGTGACTTATTACATAAAAACAATAAACATTTTGTCCTGTGTGTATTGGGTGACCAAAGAAGGGCGCAAATATGACATCCAGACTCTGCAAACTGCACTGGTTCCAGTTTGCTTCCGGATCAAATTCAAGCTCATCACCTATAAAGCCCCTCGTGGCACGGGGACAGGCTACCTATGAAACTGGCTTCACCCCATCACATCACCCTGTCTCACTTCTTCATATAGGGAAAGTATGCTACAGACCCCATCAGTTAAAGAAGTTTGACTGGTGGGATCTAGGAAAAGAGCCTTCTCTATCCCTGCCCTTACATTATGGAATATCTTTTCCCTAGAGGTGAGGCTGCCCCACCACTCTCCTGGTCTTCTGTAAAGGAGTCAAATTTGGGTCTGTTGCCTTACATGGGAGGCACAAAGGACCATGCAATTGTGGGGTTGTTTGGTGCCATGAGAGCCCTCATCCACATTTATTAATCAATGTTAAATCTTGGCATTTTTTAATTTCTTTAAAAATTTATGTTATAAACTTATAATTTTAAAATGTTTAATTCACCGCCCAAAGCTCCTCCTTGAAGGAGATAGGTGGTCTAGACATAGAAAGATGGTTTATTTATATGAAATATAAATAAAATAAATAAAGAACAAATGGGAAAACATGGTTAAACGCTTAATATTAAATAAANTAGATAGATAGATACCGTAGATAGATAGATAGATAGATAGATAGATAGATAGATAGATAGATAGATAGATAGATAGATAGATAGATAGATAGATGATCAACTGTTTTTTTTCTTGATACCTATCCGAAGTTCGCAACATATATTTTATCTTTGTGCCCTGAGAGAGAAACATTTGCCACTGCTTAGAATTGAACTCTCAGCCTTCCAACTGGGAGGTGAGAGTCTTCACCTCTAGGCCACTGTGCCACTCACTCTCAGCATTATATAAAATCAATCAAAAATCATTTTCATGTTTATTTCCATATTCCATTTAGCAGTGTTTTAAGGCTGATTTTTCAAACCAAGAGAAAATGAACATACAAATAAATTGCAAACTATATTTTCCAGACAGAATAATACATTCATCAACCTTGATTAAAAAGCCTGGCTGCACACTTTAAAAAGTATGGCCTAGTACTTAAAATATAATAGTGACAGTATCATAAATATAATAAATGGAATGTTCTCCACTATCCTTGCAATTTGCTCGCCTTCAGATGTCGAAGGCATCTGAAGACAAGGTGTCATGGCAGCAGACATTTCTTCCTGTTCTTGGATTCTAGGTTTACATATTACTTTAAAAAGGACCCTGTGCTGAGAAATGGATTGAAGCATAGACTATTCCTCTGAGAGCTAAGGCTGTTTCTGTATTAAAAACAGTCCTGAATAAAACAAATGCTGGTAATCTAGCATTATAATAATGATATTTAACCACTTCATTCACCTTTTTCAAGAAAAGACTGACCCAACTAAATAAAAATCAAACAAGCACTGATCCTTCTACATCTTAAAGCTAGAGCTACAGCTAAAATAGATGCGGTGATTAACATTGACCACAGTTTTTGCATGATATAAAGATGAAGTATCTTATGAAGATAAAGCTTGATGCAGTTGGAATCATTTAAATATCTGTGCTATTTTTTTTTCTTTTCAGAAACTACTGATTTCCTTCAGATAATTTAACATTTTCAGTTAAATATGTGTAATTAGACTCTTTGTATAAACTTGAACAGGTATCCTTTAGTACTTTTCCCATTTCTTCTAGATATCCCAGAGGCTACACAATGGATATGATTCCTCAAGAAGACCAGGGTCAGAATGAGAGGAAGAATACTGTCTTAGAATTCTCCTACCATGTACTCCGTTGCCCCATCCCAATCAAAAGGAATGAAATTTGAGTAAGAAATTAACTCTACCCCTTCTGAATGATACGGACTGTAGTATATCTGCACAGGAAGACTGTCTAAAGGCCATTTTCCTTTAAATTAGTGCTTGTGTATCTGTGTGTCATAGTAACTGAAGAATGTTTTCCCAACATTCTATAGGGACCTCAATCACTTATTATCTTGGAAGTTGGCTGACTTAACAGAATAAGTAGCTATTTGATAAATCTGTAATCCAGTGTTCCATAACTTCTGGAATTCTAGTTGTTGAAGTCCATAAACTTCAAGCTGGTCTAGAAAATGGCAGAATGCTGGTCAATTTCATCTGATGATTTTTCAAAAAATGCAGTGTCTGTTGTTGTCTGATGAAGGGTTAATGTTTGGTGACCTATGTTTGGCCAAATAAAAATATTGCCCTCATGAGTATGAAGGATGCTAAGGTTATATTCTAATCATAACTGAACTGTACAGGCAACAAAACAAGGTATAAAAGGACCTTGAATTAGGAAATAGTAAGGTTTTTTTTGATGCACTGGATTTATTAAGGAAAGTATTGCTAAGCAAGTAATACCAACAGCAAACATTTTGCAAAAGGAAGAAATAACTGTAAGCAGCCAAATAGAAAATAAAATAAAATGTGTCCATTCAAATTTACTTTTGCTACTTCAGTTAAAATAGGACTGTGGGTTTGTTTATCAGAGTCAAAATGATTTTTATCCTTGCCTTTAACAATAAATTGGTTCTAATTTAGTTAGCTGTTTTGCTGGGTTGTGTATGAAATGTAGATTAGTTCTTGCAAAGTGAATGAATGGTGGCACATTAAGTGATGAACTGAACATGTAAATGCAGTGAACCCATTAATACTGAATTACTAAATAGCAATACAATGCCTTGAGACAGTGCGGTTATTGTGCAATTATCTTGCCTCATTCCCAGAATTGAACCGAGGGGAGACCAAACATCATTGTCTTCCTTTTGTTAACTCACTTATTTTCCCATGTCTTTTTCTTAGCACAAAACAAATGGTTTAGGAAGAAAAGAAGGAATAGCCTTCCAATGCCTTACAATTCATAGTTGCAAGATTTATTTTCATTGTCAGAAAAAATTCAGCAGCAAAGATTATTTTGGGATAGATGTAGGTCTCAAATGTTGTTTTTTCAAAAGGCAATTGGACTGTTTTTTTTTTTTTGAGATCACTATGGGCTGGATGACTGAGAATCTCCACAGACAGACGGATACATGCAAGCTAAATTCTGATATTTTTGGAGAGAATCATAGGGCCACACCCACAGCTCTTGAGAATTAGGACCTCTTTTCTTTATAGCCTTCCATTGAACTGTGATATGACAGTGCTACTTTGGATCTTCATCTGGTTCACTCTCACAAAGACATTTTGCTAAATGGCTGGTGGATGGGGTGAGAAAGATCTGTACGATCAGTTCCATTTTTGTGTTTATATGTATATTTCTGTATCTATGGGCATATTTCAGCTACAGCAAGTAATATCAATGGAAAGTAGCTGTGACATACCCTGTTTCTCTGAAAATAAGACCTCCCCAGATAATAATCCCAATCG